TCTCTGAATAATATATATATATATATATATATATATATATAAACACACACACGTAACCATGAACAACAAAAGGAAGAGAAAAACGACACAATGTCCAGCAAAATCATATGTTTTTAGCATGTTAATTTTCTTGGTAATGTAGTATATGCCTTCATAAATTCAATAGCAAGTTAAAAAAAAATCTGAGAAGGTTTAATGTGGCAATCAAAAACATTATAGATGATCTTAAAATGCATAGAATTTATTGGAGCAGAAGCCATCATATGCCCTCAATGTATTCATGTTCAATCGCAAAAAATCATTATGAGAGAAAACCTTACTTGTTCTTGGGCTTGAGGTGATGGCGGCGGTGGCGGCGGCGAAGTCGAAGGTGGAGGCAGCGGCTGTGGGAAAGACGGCGATGGCTGCAACGAAGCGTCCGACGAAGGCGACGACAAATGCGGGGGTGAGTACGTGCGAAAAGCTCCTTCCTCCGGCATGGTCGTGTTCTCTTCTTCGGCGGCCATGAACTCCGGCATAGGGGAAGAGGAGATCTCGGAGGTTCCGAAGGGGGAGAGAGGGGGATGAGGATTTTGGGTTTTGACCGCTTGAGTTCGTGAGGGAAGAAGGGAGGGAGAAGGCCACCTCTACTTCTGTTGGGTTTTTTCAATTAAATTCTAATTTCGATTTTTGTTAATAATAATACATAATTAATAAATAAATACTTATTAATTATATTATTAAAAATTTATTAAAATAAAATAAATAAAAATAAAATTAGAAAGTCATTTTTCTAACTTTACTTTTTTTACTTGGTTATTTAGCCAAATTCTCGAAAGCAAACAACAGGATAAGCTATTCCTTTATACCTGTAGGCAACAAGAAAGTTACCAAAATTTTCTCTAACCATTACTCTCCTTTTTTTTTTTTTTTTTGCTTTTTTATCCTGGATGAAGAAGCATTCATCAAGAACAAAGTGAAACGTCTGAGCCGGAAAGAAAAAAAAAAAAAAAAAAGAAACAAAGTGAACAGAAAGAAAGAGGCTTCAAAGCAAGCCCACGCAGAGTCATATAGCAACACTAATTAAAAAAAAAAAAGAAAAAAAAGAGTTTTTAATGGGAAGAAGGAAAAGTACTGAAATTGGCATGGCAATCTTGTAAATAGACCGCAGAAAATATGACTTGTTATTTGGTCAGATTAATTGATAAAAGTAGTTGGGCACGTGTCAAGTAGAGACAATGGCATCTGATTCATCATCTGATCAAGTGACTGTAGCGGCCTAAACTTAAGGGGGGCCTTAAGCAGCCTTGACTTAAGGAGTGCCTTATAACGTGCCTCACCCTTGAGCCGGCATTGGTTTTGAGAGTTTTAAATACATTTATCACCTTAACTTTCTGATTCTCTTCTGATTTATTTATTCATTTATTTATTTTATTTATTTTCATTATTTCCGCTTGTTGGGATTTTGAAAACTATGGTTTCATATAGGATTTAGTTGACTTGTCTGATCGTATCTAATTGCAATGGCTGAGAGGAACAATGCTTTGTCCGTAGGGATTATTGCCAGGAAATCTTTGTTTTGGCTGCTTATTATTGCATCAATCCTATTTATGTTATCTTGGTTCTTTGTGTTGCGTTCCACGGGTCGTCCCAAGTTTATAGACCCTGGTTTGCTTCCCAATTCAAAGTTTCCATTTCTAATAGACAACTGGTATTTTGCGTTGCATAGTCAAAATGATGTCCAGCCCGAAAACCGATCGGTCCTCGCGGATAAGGAAGGAGAAGAAGAAGAAGAAGAAGACTCTTCTTTTTTCCAAGCTAACAAGCATGGCATGACATGTCAGACCAATATCAACAATGTGGTCCTTAAGGCTTTCATGTATGATTTGGCTCCTGAGTTTCATTTTGGGCTCTTGGGTTGGGAGCCACAAGGCAATAGTGTGTGGCCAGATCTTCAGACCAAAGTTCCTGATTATCCTGGTGGGTTGAATTTGCAACATAGTATAGAGTATTGGCTGACTTTGGATCTTCTTGCTTCGGAACTTCCAAACCCGCCAAACGCTCGATCTGTTACGCGAGTGCGGAATGCTAGTGAAGCCGACATCATATTTGTGCCATTCTTTTCCTCCTTGAGCTATAATCGGTTTTCGAAGAGGGATCCGAATCAAAAGAGGAGCAATAACAAGGTGCTTCAAGAGAAGTTGGTTAGGTACCTGACGGCTCAAAAGGAATGGAAGACGTCTGGAGGAAGAGACCACTTAATTGTGGCTCACCATCCCAATAGTATGTTGGATGCAAGGATGAAACTGTGGCCTGCAACATTTATACTTGCTGACTTTGGGAGGTATCCTCCCAATATCGCGAATGTGGAGAAAGATGTGATTGCGCCTTACAAACATGTGACCAAGACATTTGTGAATGACTCATCTGGTTTCGATAGCCGTCCGACGTTGCTCTACTTCCAAGGAGCAATATACAGAAAGGATGTATGTACTCTTCATTTTCTATACATACTATCGCTTACTTTTGTTAACATTTTATCTTTAAATTATAAATCTAAAATCTTTATTTGTGCTAGAAATTAGTTTTGACATGTTTTCTGATTACTTATTGTATCAATCTAGAGATAGCATTATCGTTTGATTTGTTTGTACATGAAGAATGTTATTGGAAGCATTAAAGGTGCATTATAATTCCATTAAGAACCACAGAATCTACACAAATTCCAATCATAAAGAGGCTACGGCTTACACAGATTCACGGAGTCATCTATAGATTCTTGTCTGCAAAATCTTCTCATATACCCTTGTACAGAGTCCATTTCTAAAATTAGATATTCAAACTTTAAAGCAACAATTGATTTATTACAGAAAAATGTGCAAATGTGTTAATCTTGGTCCATACTTTCTTGTTTGTGCTGGTACTACTTATCTTTGTTATAACATTGAATACTACAACGTGATCTCTCATCTAAGACAGCTAGATTCAATTAGATTTCCGGTATTATGTAAAATGTGAAAGACTTTCCTCCAATTTCGTAGAATATATTAATTAAATGGACTTCCAAGTTTGTGTTCAACAAGGTTTTGAATATGATTTGACTTAGGAAACCAGATAAAGCATCTTTATTCAGATTCTGATATTGTTGGAATTTGACTTGTAATTTGCTTTGACAGAATATCGAAAGCTATGGTAAACAACTTTGTTTCTCAGTTTGCACATTCATCTCTTGTATGGGTTAGATGAACATTTAAGTATTGACAACTTCTTTGTTTAACTTACACCTGGAAATGGCCAAATTATCTTCTGCTATTTTGCTCATTTCACCGTGTTACTGACTAAGGAAACCAAAATGAACTTGGTATTTGTCTTTCATTTCTTATTTACTGCAGGCTACACTTGCTTAATCGTTTTTGCTAATATTTGCACATATTAACTTTTGGTTTCTATCTCTGCAGGGTGGCTATGTTAGACAAGAGTTATTTTATCTTCTAAAAGACGAAAAAGACGTGCATTTTGCATTTGGGAGTGTTCAAAAAGATGGAATCCACAAGGCTACCCAAGGGATGCACTCCTCTAAGTTTTGCCTCAACATAGCGGGTGATACTCCGTCATCAAACCGCCTCTTCGATGCCATTGCCAGTCACTGCGTCCCTGTTATCATCAGCGATGATATCGAACTCCCATACGAGGATGTCCTAGACTACTCTGAATTCTGCATATTTGTCCGCACAAGGGATGCTCTTAAAGAGAAATTTCTCATAAACCTCGTCAAGAGTATTGGGAGGGACGAGTGGACACGAATGTGGCAGAAGTTGAAAGAGGTCGAGAGTTTCTACGAGTTTCAGTACCCGTCAGAGGAAGGTGATGCTGTGCAGATGATATGGCAAGCCGTTGCTCGCAAGGTCCCTGCTGTTAGAATGAAAATACACAAGTCTAGACGATTTTATCATTCTCTTGACCCTAAGGAAAGGGAGTTTAGATCTTTGCCATCACCAAGAAACTTTTGGTAATAAAGGGAAATTGGCATTCTTTTGTTGGCTCTTATGTTAAGTAGAGCACTTGACACGAACCAATGCAATAGATTCCTAGCTGCTTCAGAAAGGTGAGAACTGTGAAGCATGTTAGCTTTAATCCATAAATATGGTTTTAACACCGTACCCACTGAATTAATGAGAAAATAAACGAGAACAAATACATTCTCTATTAATACAACATTAATCTCTAGCAGAAATCACTTTTTAAATACGTTCTTGGGGTTATCGCATTCTTCAATCAAATCACCAAAGTCTTGAATGGGGTGCGGTTAAATGATTTGATATATTTGGACTATAACCTAAAATTTCTTTATATATTGTCTCATTAGGCATCTATTAAACTTAATTAGGTCAATATTGAGTATCTACTCATTTAATTCATATCTAGTAAGGAATCTAATTAAACTTTCCTAAATTGATCACTTAATTTTGTCCAATTAATTAAATGGCGTGATATGATTAATAATTAAATATGTGACCCACAATTATATTAGGGAATAAAATTTCCTAACAAAGCATTTTCACTGCAGATTTTGTGACTGACGTTACAATTATATTCTTGTAAATTAGAAAGAGAAAGGAAAGACTAATGAGCAATTTACATTTTTTGTCGAGGAAAAAAAGGCAAAAAAAGCATTTTTTGTTCCATTTAATAGTTGAGATATTGGATAATGATGTTTTCTCCTAGTCTGATCAATTTTTTGAAATAAACTTTCTTGTTTAGGCCGATAAGTAGGTGATTTTCTTTGTTGTTAAATCGAAGGTGGACGCGCGCTTTAAAAAAAAAATGCACGAAGGTGGACAAATATTTTCTTGAAATTTAAAATCCAACGGTTCTGAAATATTTTTAGGGGTAGTTAACTTTATAGATGAACTTCGGAATAATATCTGTAAAAGTATCAATAGAGTAATTCTATTTGCCTCCTTAATGCCCCGATCAAATTATAAGTCACTTTTATTATAGTTGTGGCCTACAACAAAATTGCGTTGAAACTTGAAACCCATTTAAAATACATCTTCATATATACCCCACATCATAAATAGAAATATGGAGAAAAACCAAAAATATCAGTGAAGATGATAAAAAAATTTGTGTCATAACAGTTAAGAATATATAATTGCCATTCAATTTATAAAGAAAATGTAAAAGATCACGACTCTTAATTATTTAGTTTATTATCATTTATACTTCATGAATTTTAAAGTCACTATCACTTTGCTTACTAAAATATGAAAATCATTACTTTACTATCCTAAATTTTTATGAACTTCTACTTTAATCCTTTTCGTCTCAATTTCTATTTAAAAGAGATGAAAAACGTCTCACGTGCATGGTATTTAAAAGTAAAATCGTAATTAAATTTTTGGTGATTTATACCTATGCCTTCTGAACTTGAGAGTCACCCCCACTTTGCCCCATGAACTTTGGAGTCGCCCCCCTCACTTTGCTCCTTAAACTTTGAGGTCACATCCACTTTGCCTCCTGAACTTGGGAGTTACCCCCACTTTGTCCTCTGAACTTTGAAGCACCCTCATTTTGCTCCGTAAACTTTGAGGTCGCCTCCACTTTGCCCTTTGAACTTTTTCATTATTTTCTCCATGCTACTTCAAACTTTGAATTTCTCTCAATTTGAAAAACGTAGTATTAAATGATAAAATATTTTGTAAAATTTTTTTGGAGATATTAGCAAAAAGTCGATAGAGTGTTTTAAGATGAATTTGTATATTTTAGGTTAACTTTTACTGATATCGATATTTCCGTAAAATTTAGGTACTGCTATTTCTTATTTCGAATCAAATCAATGAAAATAATTTAAATAAAAAACAAAAATGATAAAAAGGACATCAAACTGTGTTTAGAAAATCAAAGAAAATAAGAAAAACTATGTTGAGTGACCGGATTACTATAGAGGTGAATGAGCAGGTACCAATCTTAATTAAGTAGAGAGAGCAAAATGAGAAAGATTCAAAATTTAAGAATAGTATAGTGAAAGCTATGAAAAAGTTTAGGGGGACAAAATAAAGACGACTACAAATTTTAGGGGTAAAGTGGAGGGCGACTTCAAACTTCAGGGGCATAGTTGCAAATTGCCAAAAAGTGCAGACGATCCTTCATGAACCTTGCGAACCCATCCAACCACCGTTCATCCAAGAAACCTCAACCCAACATTCGCGATTTGCAATTCGCCAAACCCAGCCGCTATCCTCTGCAACTCGCAACACAGATCTCCTATGCAAATCACCAAACCAAGATCTCACCGTCGCACTCTACCCCAAAATCTTGTCGTTGTGCTCCGCTCCCAAATCTCACTGCCCAGATATCGTTGCCGCCCCTTATAATGGTTGTACTCAAATATGGTTTTCAATTTTTGATGAATTTTAGTCCGAACTTTTCTTATATTTTCAATTTTCTGGGGCTGTTTTTGTTGTTCTTTGCATTGTTTATGACTGCCTTGTTAACGGAGGCTTTAGTTGCTCTAGCTTCCATTCCAAACTTTTTTTTTTCTAAATCGTCGGTTGAATTTTTGTCTAAATGTAAAATGTTTAGGGTGCGTTTGGAACTCGTTCTAAAATAATTTTATTTTTTATATAAAAATGAAAATGAAAACGTTTTCAATCTAAGACATAAATCATTTTTAAAAATATATTTAGTAGTTTTATCAAGAGATTATTTTTAATATAAAAAATTAATTAATGTCTCTCTCTCTACTCGAGAGAGGAAAAAACAGAAACAAAAAATGAAAAATGACTAAAAATTATTTTTTATTTCTCTCTCATTTTACACTAAACTAAAAAATCGTTTTCATTTCCGTTTTTGACGTTAATTGTGCCAAATGTCGTTTCTTTTCCGTTTTTATTTTTTCTTTCTCAAAAAATGTGAAAATTAAAAATAAAAATAACTCCAAACACAGCCTTAATTTCATTAGGGCTTGGCTCCTCAGAGCGAAAGAAGAGGAGAGAGAGAGAGGAGAGATTCGGGCCCGTTTAGTTCGCTGATTCGAGTTTTTAATTCGAGTTAATATGTGATTTTATATGAGAGCTTTTTACTGTAGCAAAAAAGTTAGATGTGATTGTTTGTGAGAGCTTTTTACAGTAGCAAAACTCGAATTCTAAACTCGAATTAGCGAAATGAACGGGGCCTTTTATTTTAGAGTTTTTAACTTCTTAATATATTTAAAAATATGAGCTTTAACAATTTATTTTCTAATTAATTAATAAAAAAGATATTTTTGACATTTTATGTCTCAAAGAATGGGCTCAGATAACTAAAAAAAATAATTTTTTAAAAAGTCAGTATACCAATTCATAATTATTGAAAATATAAGGTATATATATAATATTAAAAGACAATTATGTTAAAATAAATGGTATAAATTTTTCCTAGTTTACACATTTTCGCTCTTATTTTTCCTCACATTTTTTTCCACCTATTCATGTGATTCTAAACACAAAATAAATTGGGCATGTTTGGTAATGTTTTTAAAATGGTTTTATTTTCGGTACAAAAATGAAAATGAGATTGTTTTGAAAATTATTCTGAAATTACATTTGGTGGTCTTTTAAGAGATTGATTTGAGTATAATAAAAAAGTGAAATCATGTTTGGTTATATTTATGTTTATTTTGAGTACATGTAATTAATAATATTAAATTAATATATTAAGTAATTAACCATTGATAATTATTTAGCAAATAAAAATTAATAAATTATTAATATAAAATAATGGATAAATTATCATTAATGAGTATATTAGTAATTAAACTATATATAATAAATTAATATGCTAAATAATTAAAAAATAGTAATTAGTAATTATTATGTTAGTAATGTACTCATATTTATTAAATTATAAGTAATTAATTAGTGTATTAAGAAAAATAATTAGTATATACATGATTTATTAATATACTGTTTACTACTTAAATTATTAAGGGTGTGTTTAATTGAATTAGGTCCCGTTCACTTCGCTGATTCGAGTTTAGAATTCGAGTTTTTCTACAGTAAAAAGCTCTCATAAACAATCACATCTAACTTTTTTACTACAGTAAAAAGCTCCCACATAAAATCACATCTCAACTCAAATTCTAAACTCGAGTCAGCGAAGTGAACGGGACCTTAATTATTAAAAGTGTGTTTGATTGAAAGTAATGGAATAGAAAGGAAAGGACCATTCCATCCAATTCCATCATTTGGTTCTATTTTTTGGTCAGAAAAGGCTTTCCTACGGAAAGCCCATTCACTCAATTTGAGTGAATCGCGATTCGCTCGAAGGGGCAGTGGAAAGGCGTTTCCATTCAGCCACATTAATTTTTTCTCCAAAATCTCCCCGATTGAGAGAGATGAAGCCCTGGCCCCCGTTACTTGCTCGACCAAACAGCATCGAGCTCCACAGGCCGCTACTCTCCTTCTTGCGACCTTTTTCTTCCTTCCTCCAAATCTCTGCGTCTCCTTTTCCTTTGAATCTCCTCCGCGGATTCAGATTTCCGACCGCGATGAGGACTTCTCCGATCTCGAACTTTTGCAGTTCTTCCGCCTCCAAGGTTTCAACAAGTCCAGCAATCGGATTATTCGAATCGTCAGAAAATACTTTCCCGGTACACAAACACTCTCGGCTAAAAGCTTTATGTTCTGTCCTTGATTTTGACTATGGGGTTTGTTTTGTTTATGCTTTTTGTTCCGTTTTGCATATTTGAGTTCAATTTGAGTAATGATGAGAAATTTATGGTATTTTCTAATTGGTTTCGGTTAGTGTATGGATTCTTATGGAAGATGGATTGTATTTGTCTGGAAAAAGATGAGTTTTTTTTTTTTTTGGGGGTTTTAGTTTCAGTAATTATTTATGTGTGAATTTTTTTGGGTTTAAATTGTTTTTGGATTGGGGCTTTATCAATCATTTTTGCCTTGAAATTGCAATTAACTTTCAGAGAGAAAAAGTTAATCTTTACAATTGTTATCATTAATATTTTTAATCCTCTATTTTCCTGGTTTTATTTCCTAATAGCCAGTTTGTAATTCAAGTTACTAGAGAGCAGTGCAAGAGAAAATTGGCCCAACAAAGGCATAAACTTGGAGTTACAGAACAGTGAGGAATTTTGCTTCTATATGGTAGGAAAAATTTTGTGATTGGATGATATGAAAAATGTGTAGAAGGCGTTAGTCAAAGTAGTAATATTCTTGTAACTATCTTGAGGTGGATTTAGGAAGACCTTCCTCTGATTTCAAGGACAGGCTTCAAGTTGCATACTTCATCCACCCAGGGCTCCGCTCGAGGCTTGTATTTGCCACTCTCGATTCTTCTTAAGTGGAGGGTGAGTTATTTTGTGATATGTGTTGGTCAACCAAATTGTTCTTAGTAAGTCCTTAATTGCACAAGTTTTCAGTTGGGTGTAATTCTGTGTGATCTGGAGTATTTAGGCAGTTTGCTTGCTTAGCTGAATCTGATAGATATTAGGTTTCCGGTTGCTGCTTTTGCCTAAATAAATTAGTCAAGTATATAGCAGGGGAAAAATGTGATGAATGTCGTACTGTCTCCGGCTGAATTTTTTTAGTTCTTTTCTGCTAAAAGTGCTTTTCCTTGAAATTATTCCATAAAAAATAACTTATATAAAAGGATAAGTCTAATACATAGGACCCAGACCTTATAATTTAAAGCAGGGCACGCTGCAATATATAGCTAGTTGAACGGAAGCATGGAGCTTATGTGGTTTTCATCGTGTATTCTCTAGTTGAATTGAAATTCAAGAATTGTGAGAAAATTCAGATATTCATATTTAGTTTATTTCAAGTAATATCCACGTTAATTCAGAAAATTCAGATGTGAGATGAGTGACACATCTTTTTGTGAGTGAGACACCCCCAACGGAAGGTTAAGTTTTGAGTGAATTTTGTGTGCAAACATGTTTCAGTTCTTATTTTTAATTCACTATTGTTGTATCACGTTTATATTTTTGATCTACTATTTCTTTTCGGCGTAGTGGTTGTAACTATTATTTCGATAGTGATAGCAGTTCTAATTATTATGTTAGGTGCATGCGATTATCTATTGTATGTGAGTATTGAGCCTTGAACTATTATATTTTCATGTTCAGACTATACTTGAATATTTCTATTGTCTCAAATACCTCGAATTCTCAAATTTTGGTTTTCCCTATTGGGAAAAAATAAACAAAAACAAAAACGATCTATGTTAAGGTTGAAGATATCATGTTCATATAAATTTGTCCAAATTTACACTCGTTTTAAATAATTAAGTTTCTCAATGCGATTAAGAAGCATAACGTGTAAGTTTTTTCCAGTTATTTGTGGTCCTAAATTCGTTTGCTTTTTATTGTAGTATGTATTGGAAGATCAAGTATGTAAGCCGCTTGCAGTATCTTTGGGATGATATAAAGAAGGATGATATCGAGATTCCTGATTTTGTGAAATCTCATGATGGTATTCTTGAGCACAGACCACTAACGGATTACGGTATCGAACCAGACTCTTTCCACTTGTTCGATGCTCCATCGACAGCTTACTCATTTGGGACAGATGGGGCATCAAGGGAAGACATTTCCCATTGTTAGGATTATGCTTCATTTTGTTAAATTGTATTAATTAGGAATTTGCTTGACTTGGCAGATGATAAATGCTATATATAAGTGAATCTACTAATTTTGGTGTATGACTATATTTTGAGATTATATATGTAGTTGAATGATATATTGATTTATTTTTATTATTAACAGGGGTCAAAGTGATCATTTTACTCGATACATATCATGGTAGATGCCAAAACTGATCATATTTGAGCCTGTGATAATTTATTATTACATAAAAATATCAACTAGTATTTTTTTACGATTGAAATATAGTTTTTAAATTTTATTCTTCAAATAAAAAGTTTTTTTTCAATAATTAATTTACTTTTTTACAATTTTAATTAATTAAATATTGAATTCTTTATGATTATTAATCAAGGGTATTTTTGTCAAAATACAGTTTACTTTCATTCCATTCTGTTGTCAACCAAACAACATACTTCTCATTCAGGTATTGATTCTATAGTTCCAACCAAACTAAAGAATCAGTTTGTGATTTCAGCACATTCCAATTCTATTCCATTACCATGGAGATGCAAAAATAGGCCGGCCCGACCATTCTCCTTAGGCCCACGTGGGCTGTGGGCCACGCCGGACCAGGCCGATCTGTATATGAATGACCTCGCCCCAGCTCACACCACGGGCCAATTTTGCGTGGGCCAGGTTGGGCCGTGCCACGTGCCAGGATGGGCCGTGCTATGGACCTTGAATGGACTAGCACACTCAAGGCCCATCTTAGCCCATCATGGGTTTAGATGGGTCAGCCCATCTAAGTATGTAATTTTTAATTTTTTAATTTTTATTTTTATTTTTGAGTTTTTAAATAAAAACCTTTCTAAGGAAAATTCAGTGGGACAAAACCTTAGTAAGAAAAAAAGAGTACAATCAGGATAATTATACATAAGATGTTTACAAAATTACTAAAAAAAAGAAAAAAAACATGAAGATATTATGGGCCTAGATGGGTTGGGCTGTGCAACCTTATTTTGGGCCTAGACGGGCTGGACTGGGCTGGCCCATCATGGGCCTAGATGGGCCGACCCAACCCAGCCTGGCCCATGATTTTTCATGGGCCGTGCCAGGCCGGCCTATGGGCCGATATATGTTCGCCCAGTCCAGCCCACTAATATTTATGGGCTGGGCCGTGCCTTGAACAATGACAGGCTATGCCGGCCCGGCCCATCACTGTGTCAGGATGGACTTGGGTCAGCCCACGAGCCCCGGCCCATTGTTGCATCTCTACATTACCATTCCGTCACTGTAACTAAACGCACCCTCAGATGAAAAAAAAGGTAAATGATATAGGAAAAATAAAGAATGAAGAGTGAAAACAAAAAACCGTCATTTTCTAACCCATAAAGAGAGAGAAAGAAGGAAAGGAAAGGTTAAAAAGAGAGATGAAAAAAAAAGGTAAATGAAGTAGGGAAAAATGTTTATTGCATTTGGATGGAATGATTTGCGCTATGAGAACAGAGAGAAGAAAAGGAAAGGCAAAAAGGAGTGAGAGGAAAACAGGCAAACGATATATGGAAAAAAAAGAATGAAGAGTGAAACTAAAAAACCGTCATTTCCTAAGTCATGAAGAAAGAGAAAGAGGGAAAGGAAAGGTAAATAATGAGAGACGAAAAAAAAAGGTAAATGAAGTAGGGAAACATGTTTATGGCATTTGGATTGAATGGTTTGGGCTATAAGAAAGTGTTGTTGGGGGAAGAATTTGCGCTTAGTTAGGCACATTGGTAAATCTTCTTTTTCAAATTTTCACACGTTATTTTAATTTGAAAAACTAATTACACATCTTATATGCATTGTTTTACTGGCCGAATATTATAACCATTATTTTAATTTTGACTAGCATATTCCAATAACTATACAATTCACTTTTCTAAAATTGGAAAAAACTATTTGCTGAAATGGTATGCAACTACTTGTAACAGCCAAATAATTTAAAATAAATTTCTAATCACTTTCTTTAAAGCTTTACAAGAAAAAAAAAACTATTATGTCGTGATAAATGCTCTCTCATCTTTTCTTTGAAAATGATGAATTTCTATCAAACAAATGAACATTTGTTGACAAGATGTAAGATCATGTCAATATCAGTGATTTCCAATCGTTAAATATCAAATGTATTACCGGTGTGACCTAAAAGTATGGCAATTAATGAACGACATTGGTAATCTCTGTTTGCATATAGTATCAAGGAAGAAAAAAATCTCTATAAGCATAAAGTCATAAGAAGTGTATTTTTCGTAGCATGATGCAAAAAAAAAAAAAAAACAAAGTATTTTAGTCATTTTTTAAAAAATTGCTTTTATTAGCTTTTTATTTTAAAAAAACATTTTATCTATAAATATTAAAAACCATCAAAATTATTGGTGTAAAGTTAAGAATGCCTTTCTTTTTTTTTCCTTTCAAGATGTGTTTGAGATTTGATACTTTATAGCCTCCACTTTAGAACCCCATTAAATCAATATATTGTGCGGCGTTTGATGTGTAGTGTCATTAGTGAAAGCTGAGCCCATTTTTTTGAGTAGAATTGAGTCAAGTCATTTTCTGTTCATTTGTGGGTCTCAAAATTTTCAAAGTGATGAGAGAAATATTGGATGTCATGGTGACACTTGTAATAAAAAAACTAAAAAAATTAATAAGAATAATAGAATACCAAAATTTAAAGTGTGGTTTGTCAATTTATCTACATCTAAGAATGAGACGAGAGGAGATTCTCTACAAAGAAATACTATGAATACACTGCATATAAATAAATATTACAATTACTGAATCAAGTAAGTTACACAAAGCCAGTGACAGCGTGAGAAATTTTTTTGAGTTGGGGCTCATAGTTAAGTAAAAAATTTAATAAAAATAAGATTGATTGTGTAGTTTTTATGTATATTGCACTTTTAAAAATATGGAAATATGGACTATATAATTTATTTCAGTGGGAGTTAATTTGTATCAATCAAATATGATACACAATTATATGTATAAAATTTTTAAAACTAAAAAATTTGAGTGGGGACTTAAGCCCCCACTGAGCATGCCTTGGCTCCGTGCATGCGCAAAGCTAATCTCTCAAAGTCAATAGTTAATTTAAATTTTAAAAAATATAATTCAATGCAAACTATTATTGAATATAATTTCATAGAAAAGTTAAATTTTCCAAATTTGTCTATACAAGGTGGTGCTTCGATTGAAAATTTTAATTTTAGATCGCGAATTATAATGAGTGATAGGGTGTATGTTGCAGGTGTTAGAGTATGAGTGATGGTGTACTTGGTGTAGGGCAACAATGAGAACACAGGGAAGGGACAAAAGTTGATGGCGTAGCGGCAAACTCAACTTGAGCATAACCGCTTTAAAAAAAGGCATTCCACTCCGTCATAAGTCTTGCTCATATCTAACTTCAATGTCTTGAGGTCTTCGTACCTCCTGTCTTATGTCGGATTTTATATTGAGGCTCATAAGCAACAATAATACTGTCTAATATGAAGCGACCAGATACAATGACACTCTACTCATTAGAAATAATCTTAAAAAAAATGTTTTAATGTGATCTAGATAACATTTTAGTACTGATTTTGTACACTACATTACTGTCTCGTTCGGTTCGCTAATTCTAGTTGAGATGTGATGTTGTGTGAGAGTTTTTTATTGTAGCAAAAAAGTTAGATGTGACTGTTTTTAAGAGCTTTTTACTGTAACAAAACTCGAATTCTAAACTCGAATCAGCGAAGTGAACGGGGCCTACATATATTAATTGGCGTAAAATTTCAGACTTCCTTAAGTGATTCACCTCAGGAATAAGCAGCGAATGAGTTTGATTAAGTGAGTGAAATTTCATTTAATATTATTCATCAATTTAATTTGTTGCTTTTTTATAATTAGCATGTAAGTGATATATCAAATAACCCGAATGTTCAAAAATGAAGAAGAAGATCAACGAATAACAAACTCTTCAATGAATAATAACAGTTAGATTTACGATTTACAAGATAAGATCAATGTGTATTTGGGAAATTTTAATACTCCCCGAGTAAGATTACATCTAAAAAAAGTAATTTGTATAAATGAAAAAAAGTTAAAAAAGGCCAACAAAAAAAAATAATATTATGAGGAAAAAGTGAAAGGAAGAAGAGAAGATGAAAAAAAAAAAAAAACATCAAAAACAAAAAAAAATGAACAATATTTATTGATTCTTATTTCTTTTATTACTAAGTTCGTCTATTAAGTTTTAGTTATCGTGTGTAATTATTAAGAACATATAAAAGCTCGAAACAAGTAAAATTAAAAAAAATAAAGTTTTAGGGTAAGTAGTAAACAAAAAAAAGGAAAAAAGGACCAACAGAGAGAAAACCTGGGAGAGCAAAAAAAATAGATAAATAAAAAAAGGGTAGCGACATTGTAGTGATACTGTTGCGAAAGCTGTCTGAATACAAAGCTGTTGTATTAATTTGAATTTTAAACTTGTTTTCTTTCTCAAAGCGGTTTCTCATAATTTATAATACATGAATATATTTTACCGTTAATCTCCAAGCGAATGTTTTTTCCCGTTACTAAGTGCCCATTTTTTTATTAATTTTGAAACTTTAGAATTTGTTTCTCTCTCTTCTCCCCCGTCGGGCTCTCTCTCCCTCTCTGTTCCTTTCGCTCTCTCTCTTCCCGTTCCCTTGCATTCTCTATATTCCTCTCACGTTCTCTTCCTCCTCTCCCCCTTCCCTCCCATTCTCTCTTCTCGTTTGCTTTTTCTCTCGTTCCACGAGGACCTCACGGCGGAGAAAGAAGGTCGCTGGCTGCCGATGTTGTCGGCGGTGAGACGGAAAGCACGAGCGAGCCACCACCGCGGGGCGTCGGAAACATTGTGTTGTTGCTTCTTACCGGCAAAAAGGCCTCGCCGGCGTCAGATTTAAGAAATTAGGGTTCAGGGCGAGCAGGGACAACGTAAATGCAGTGTTCTTCGCAGATACGTCCCATCCGATCAAAGCAAGAAGCATCGACGGCACCGACTTCATCCCTCAAGACAACGCCGTCTATCACGCCTATCTTTGCTCCTCCGTTCCTCTCTATCTTTCGTTTCTCCTACACACACACTCTCTCTCTCTCTCTCTCTCGTTTCTCTCTAAACATTGTCGTTTCGTTCCTAACCAAAAATGTGAAATTCTCTCTTTTGCAGATGACCCTCTCGGTGATCCCAACCTCCTCGGCGGCTCTTACAGTCTTGCTGCACTCTCTTCGCCGTCCGCCTTTCTCACCAAACCATCGAACACAAGCTTCGCAAGGGTTTATTTTCATTTCTTTCCTTTGTTTGGTTCCTGAGAAAATCTTCGCTCATTTACTTTATGATGAAAAAGGAATATATTATTTAGCAAATAAATAAATTAATTTAATAGAAAAATGTTTATGGCGTTTGGATGGAATGGATCGAGCAATTTTCTTTTTCACTTTCCTATTTCTTTATTTATTTATTCAGAAATCAAGTAGTTTTTTTAATTTATAATTTTCTCTATATAACTTGTAATTTTTTTTTTTTTCATTTTCGTTTTTCTTTCGATATACAGAGTGATGGCCATCAGAAATCAAGTTGGATTTTTGGTCTGCTTGGTGCCGATGTCGCTTAGGGGTTCCTGATCCTATAGGGTTTGGTTTTCTTGCAAACTTGTTTGGTTTTTCCTATTCTCTTCTTATATTTATGATTTTTTATTTTAGGAAATTTATTTGTTCATATTTGCACGTCTTGTGAAATTTCCGCTACTGAATCAGTGATATGGAATTTTGTATCTTCATTTCTTCCCTTCTTTGCCTCTTTTAGTGTGCTCCCCGCTGTTTGTTTTTCTCTTCTTTCACATTTATGATCCAAGTTATTTGTCTTTTCTGTGGGTTCATGGTTTCTGAAGCGTTCCTACTCAGCCCTAAAGGTTTGCTTTTGTGTTTTCTCTTCTTATGTTTACTTTTTCTGCCCATCTTGTTTATTCTGGGTATCAATTTAGTTTCTGATTGTATTTACCTTATTTTGGGAAAAGTATTTGGACAATTCACAATGGGGACAAGTGCGTAGTAGTTTTTGTAAAACTTCTGCAATTTTTGTTGACGCCCTATCTTTCTTAAGGTGATAACTTACTGGTGCATTTGCGTTGTTACAAGTTAGGGAGTGTACTTAACAAGAGGATATGGCGATCAACTCCATATTTTACTTAGAACTTTAGTTGAAAGAGAAATTCTTGAGCCATGAAGAGGGAGAGAGATTTGTTCTTTTGGTTTCGTTTTCTTTTTGATTTTTTAATTTTGTGTTCGTCCCAATTTATTGTCCTCATCGTCATTTTCGTTGTAGGTAAACTTGCCTTCCGTTACTCACCAACCGATGGAGAGAGAGAAAGGAGGGAAGAAAAGGAAATGTAAAAAGGAGTGAGTAAAAAAGGCAAATTATACAGGGAAAACATAGAAGGAAGAGTAAAAAGAAAAACCGTCATTTCCTAAGCCATGAAGAGAGAGAAAGAGAGAGAGGAAAGGTAAAAAAGAGTGAGATGAAAATAAGGTAAATGAAGTAGGGAAAAATGTTTATGGCATTTGGATCGAATGGTTCGGGCTATGAGAACAGAGAGAAGAAAAGGAAAGGTAAACAGGAGTGAGAGAGGAAAAAAGGAAAATGATATAGGGAAAACAAAGAATGAAGAGTGAAAAGAAAAAATCGTCATTTCCTAAGCCATGAAGAGAGAGAAAGTGGAAAAGGAAAGGTAAAAAAGAGAGACGAAAAAATGTAGTGAAAAAGGGTTTATGGCATTTGGATGGAATGGATCGGGCTATGAGAAAGTGTTGCTGAGGGAAGAGTTTTAGTTAGGCACATCGGTAAATCTTCTTTTTCACATTACTTTTTCTTTATTTATTTAATCGGAAATCAAGTAATTTTTTTAATTTATAATTTTCTCTATATAGCTTGTAATTTTTTATGTAATTTCGTAATTCCTTCCTTCTAGAGAGTGATGGCCATCAGAAATGAAGTTGGATTTTTGGTCTGCTTGATGCCGCTGTCGCTTACGTGTCCCTGATCAGACTAGGGTTTGGATTTCTTGAGAGTTTGTTTGGTTTTTTGCTATTCTCTTCTTATATTTATGATTTGTTATTTTAGGAATTTTTTTTGTTCATATTTGCATGTCTTGTGAAATTTCCGCTATTGAATCAGTGATGTGGAGAATAGACCATTTGTGTGGAAATTTCAGCTATAAAGTTATATGTGCCTTTGTCTAATGGTTATGCATTTACTTAAACACTTAGCACTCTTTAACTTCTTCCCTATTTTGTTGATCGATCTATGCCATTATTTTCACTTCTCTTATATTTATTTGAGTTCTTCCTTACATCTTCCTAAGCTAGTGAAATCAACCTTTTATATAAGCTTATCTATTTTTCAATGTTTCCATCATAGAAAGAAAATATGAAGAATCCATATCCATATCTGGCGCATAAGGTAGTGTAAGTTCTTCTGAATATTAATTTATGAATTCTTTTTAGATAACTAATTATTGCTTACTAGACCTAAAGATGGTAGTGTGTAGATTCATCTTTGAGGTATGTGTGTCACTATTTTAATTAGTTTTTTTTCACGTCAAATATTGTTGAAATAGATTTATTTGATTCCTCTTAGAGGTATGTGTGTCATTAATTTAATTAGTTTGTTTCGCATCAAATATTGGTGAAATAGATTTATTTGATATCTTCGTTTGGGTGTTCGTTTTTTCTTTAAAAATTTTCTGATGGTACTTCAAATTTTGAAAACCCTATTCTTTTCATCCAGGACCATCTGTTTCATTTCTCAGCTCTTGTTCTCAGATCAAAGTCACAGCCTTTGCCCGGTGATCGCCTTTGGAATTTCATCTCCTTGGTGTCGGCTCGTCTCGTCGGTGTCTGTGAGTGGATTCTCCTTCTTCTAATCAACTTTGACTGTGGTGAGCATTATTCTTAATTGCTGATAGCTATGTTTTTTTTCCCTTGTGGATTTTGTATTCTTTCATTTTTTCCAATTTTTTGTTTAGGTTTTTTTTGTTTGTTTGTTTTTGTTTTGTTTTGTGCGGTTTGAATGGCGACTCTATTATTTTCTCATTTGTTTCTGTCTCACAACTGAAGTTTAAAAGGTAATCTTGAAATCTTCTCAGAGAGAGAAAGAGCAGTTTTATTTAGAATTTTAGACCTAATATGCAAATTCCATTGAATCCATGAAACATTGAATTTTAGACCTAATAACACTATCAATGAGTGGATTTGAATTTTCCTCCCATTATTAGAGAGACAAAAAATGATGAGCCCCACTATAATTTTTTTCATCCTATTTTCCTTTTCCTGATATCTTCTTTCTCACAGAACAACAAATTCTATCATTTTCCATTCAATAATCCTTCTACTCACTTTATTCTTTCACTTTTCTATAATATGAAACATAGGGTGCGTTTGGAATTGGTTCCAAAACGTTTTTATTTTCTGTACGAAAATGAAAATGAAAACGTTTTTAGTTTCATTTTTGAATTATTTCTAAAAATGCGTTTGGTAGTTTTATTTAGAGATTGATTTCAGTTTTAAAAAAAACTGAAATTGCGTTTGGTGGTTTAATTTTTGAAAACATGTAATAATATATTAAATAAATAATATTATTAAATATATTAAATAAATAATATATTAAATATATTAAATAAATAATAT